TCCTGCTTCCTACACATGATTGCTGTAGATGCTATGCCAAGGATAGTGTTGATTATCACCACTTAAGATAGTTTCATTCTCAGCTCCGAGATGTTAACCTTCTGAAACTTTGTGCCTCCTTTTCTTTTACAGAGAAACGGGAAAATGTCATGCATGTGCTGCCCCTTCATGGAGGCCACCTGGGATTTTTTGAGGGGTCTGTACTATTCCCAGAACCTCTCACCTGGATGGATAAGCTTGTGGTACAGTATGCCAACGCCATCTGTCAGTGGGAGAAGACAAAGTCTCACTGCTCAGACACAGAGCAGGCTGTATCTGGCCAGGAGTAATTGACCCAAAGACTCTGGATCACTTCAGTATATCCCCCCCTTTGGGAACATCTTGTTCCCTCACCTGCTGCTTCAGGATTCCATTCTCCTTGATATCCTATGGCTGGGGTTTGATCGCAATGTTTTCTTCCGAAGTGGAGTCAAAGCAGAGGTTAATATCTGGTCAGAGCATCTTTGCATATATAGTCACTTGGGTTTGTAATTTACTGCTCTGCTTGAAGAATTAGGTTGCTGACTGTGACTTGTTACAGGGTTATGGAGCTAAAGCCTGCTTGCTTTAATATAGCAGAAGTTTCAAGTATCAAAATTTCTTCACCTGCTGGTCAAAAACTTGATCTGCGGCCTCTGTTTAGGTGTAGATGACAGGGTAACTATGACTCTGTTCTTCTCTGTCCCAGTGCCGGAAAAACCCTGTACCAAGCCACAAGCTGGTGAGTGGATCAGTGATTCAGTCTGTTAACCACTAAAATGTGGCTTGGAAAAACAGATGCTTGGCTGCAAGTGGAGTTCCAGCCTTGCACCGTCTCAAGGGAAGCCTTTTAGTTACTAGGAATGCACTTACACGAGTGAATCAGTTTAAAAATAGTTAACTCGTCCATGCTTCAGCTATCTGTGGATTGGGGTATCTTTATGCTGGGACTTCGAGAAAAGCTGCAGGCTGGTAATACCAGTTAATGTTTCTACGCAAACATGTTCTTGCACCAACACCAGATCAGTCACCTTCTTGTCATCTTTGCCTCTTCTTAAATGTAGTTATCTTTTTGTACTGGGTGTTTGTTTGACCCAAGGCTTTTTAAAGCTGGCTCTGACTTCCAGATGGAAACCAGTGATTAAGAATCTGCAGGATCCTTCTGTGAGCTCAGTCTGTTTCTAAGAATATTTCATAGAGAATTACGTACTCTGTTAGGGATTAATTTGTTGGGCAGGTAGGTATCTGTTTAGATTTACTCCCCTTATGTCATACCAAAATTCTTCCCCTTAGCTTTCAAAGCATCAAATGGTTTTCAGACACATGACTTGCCTTACAGTTGATGAAGTGGATGTCTGTGCCCTGTACAATTAAAATTATATTTTTGCATGGCTAACTACTTCCATATCTATGTAAATGCTGTAGGATTACTGGCTCCAGTAAGACACTGGGCTCTTCATCACTTCAATTCCTTTTCCACACCCAGACATCCTCTTCTAGTTTTAATGTGCAAAGTGAAGTGTGAAAGCTGTTTGCAGGAAAGATGCCCACTCATTTGTGCTTTTCCCTCAAGTGGCTGTTATGGTCTGTGCCAAGATTGTTAAAGACTCTAGTCTGTCCCCTGGAAGGAAAGTTGTCCCATGACAATCTAGAGACTGAAACTTCGCAGACAAAATCTTGGGTGTTTTTTTTACTGTTTGTCAACATTGTAGTCTCATTAATCCATCCTTAGGACTTTATCACAGTGTCAGTGAAGTTCTTTTCCTGTCATACTTCCCACATCAATTAGCACTTTATTGCTTCAGCCTTGGTTTGTGTTCCAGGCACTTTAGTTTATAGCTTAAGGGTGAAACAAGCTGCAAGACTTCAGTCTGGTAACGTAGGGGAACAAGTCTTCTGGACTGCCTTGTCCCTGAACTTCAGTAGGTTGGAGAGGTGGGGGTTTGTTTTAATAAAGCAATAATTAACTATTGTAGCAAAGGTGCATTATCATATCAGGAAATTCCTCTCATTTGCCTTAGGCCAGACACCTTGGCCTGTTACAATGAACTGTGGGTTTTTGTTAGTAAATCCAAGTTTCTTTTTTTTCATCAAAGAGATGTGACCAAGTAAAGCTATAGCAAGACTTGGCTGTGCTTGTGGCTGTTCCTTAAGAACTATTTTAGGGCATCAGTTAGCAAGGATATTCTTAGCTGATGGATATCTTGTCTCTATCCTATTCATACTGCATCTGTATATCACTATAATCTGTCATAAAAGACACTTCAGACTTTTGCTTAAGTAGCTGTTCATGTAAAATTCATTCGATATGACTTAAATATCTTCTTACTTCAACAGAAGTGGAGTGTAAACAACACTTGTACACATCAAATAGATACAGTATAAATTTAGGTGTGCAGGGGGCTATGTTTTTTATCTCCAGTGGGTTACAACTTTAGAAGTGTTTCAACTTTCATAGTATACTACAGCTGTAGCTTACACAGGTTGTGGCTGTCTGCCTTGGGGAAGCAAAACTGCCCTTCCCATGCTTCATGTGTCCTTCCTCAATCCAGCTTTACTGTGCTGCCATGAGTATCAACCTTGGACAGCTCTAGAGGAACAGAAGTTTGTCCTTGGTACTGATACTGCTGTGGAAGTGAAGAGCCCATCATATTGACCCAACATGTGGATACCGATGACAGAAAGGGCAGCGTGCATCTGACCTCCTTTGAGAGCAAAATATCTGCCTTCCTCAACTTGAGAGTGTTATCAAAAGCAGGGGCTCTGCTCCACAGCTCCCCAGGCAGCTGAAGCTTTGCCTTCCTTTCCCAGGAACCCAGGCTGGCAGAACAATTCAGTTGTTGACTGGCCCAGAACATGAAAGTCAGGAGGGTGAGAACTGGCTCAGTGCTGTCTGGGGAGATTAAAGCTGAGGCAAAGCAAGTGTTTTGCCTCTGCTGTTTGGCCAAGTCATGCCAGTCCCTCTGAAAGCAGAGCTTTGTCCTGAGAAGCTTTTTCTTGGAAAAAACTCGTCCTCTTTCTGTTTTGTAAAGAAGATCATTCTTGATGGACCAGGCTTTCAAACAGGTTTTTGTGTTTCTGAGGTATGAGGAAGCTTCATTTCAAACTGATTTTACTACAGCAGATGGCCAGTCAGTCAATGACCTGTTTTTAAGCAAGTCTGCTAAAATGAGGTGAGCAGCTAGGCAATTCTGAAAGCAGCAGGAGCTGTAGCTTTGTCTAATCAACTATTAAAGTTGGAAGGTCTTCTCTAGGAATACTTCCTTCTGCCCTGCAACCCAAGCTTTCATACTTCAGAAGTGCTGATGCTGTGGACTTTCTGAAACTCTCAACTATAGAAGTAATATGGGTCTCTGTCTTGCTCCTTTGACCTGTTTTTGCACTTTGTACTTGCATCTACAGCTGTTCAAACCACTTGTGACTTGACCAACTAATTCTAGCCTGTTTGGGGAAGAAGAGTTTTTGTCATGGCTTGTTCAACAAGTGTTGTCATGGTTCAGCTTACTAAGCTTGTTGTAGGTGGAAGCAGTGAAAAATCTATTCTCCCCATCCCACCCAATTTGCTGCTTTCAAAGCAAGACTCATGGTGTCATACTTGCCAGCAGTAACATAGAGATCTTGGAAGTGGGAGAGGAGAAAGTTAAGCTGCGGTACATGTTACTGCAAAGGCAATCCTGTATTAAATCTTACTGCTGACAGTGACTGGCAACTGATACCTAGTACCTATGACCCAAGATGCATAGGACTTTGTCCAGTCCTAATCTGAAATACTCTTCTTTCCCAAAATAAGGCAATACTAGTCTTGTGATGTGGGCAGATGGTCTTCATTTGCCCAGTGAACTCAACCTTAAATGCAGTCTGAATTTTTAAGTCTTAGAGGTCAAGTTGTCTTTTTCATCTCTTGTCAAGACACATGAGGTAGTTGAAGTGTGCACTTCTATATCATTACAGTGTAGTCTGATAGCGCAGTTCAAGATTACAGCATGATGAATCTGTTGTGTGTTCTGTTTAGTTTCAAACTGGGATTAGAAAAAGCATTAGAAGAGCTCTTCCACAGGTAGTCTTGTGTGGTATACACAGTTCTCTCCCATCACTGTATGTAAGTAGCACTTGAACATAAACCCTGAGGACTCTCTCAATCAGGTAGCAAGTTGCAGAACTATTACTCCTTGGTTAGGCTGGTCCAACCATCACCTTTGTCAGTGTCTGGAGAGATCTGAAGCTTGTAGGTGAGCAGCTGGGACTTGCACTTACTGAACACAAGGAACTTGCAGCTTCCACTACATCACATCTGCCAGCATTTCTAATGTTGGTTAGCTTCTACATTGAAGGTGTTTTCAGATGGGTCTGACAGTGTTGCAGTTGCACTGTAAGGACAGCCGCTTCAACTTCCTTGCAGTCTTTTCCTAAGTGTTTTTCTGCAGTTCCTGTTTATGAAGATACAGGTTACAAAGACAGGACATTAAGCAAAGATGTTGGGAACTGTTAGCTCCAGTACTGAATTTAGCCAAGCTACCTGTGTCATCTGTCCTGGATCTGTCACAAGTTCCTAGACCACAGCCCTTTGACACATGGTGCCTTGTCCTTTTTCTCCTCCACCCTTGACATCAGCATATCTAGAGACTTCAGTAACAGCTCTGTCAGAGCTTTTGGGGCTTTGCTCTTTAGTTAATGAATTTTCAGACACTAGGTAGTGAGACAACTCTGGCAATGTACACTGTATGAGTGTGCTGACTTAAAGGACTTTTGTGGGTAGCCTACAACTAGCTGCAGTCTATTTTAAGGCTTAAAATAATATATATTAAGCAGTGGATCATTTTCGGCTCTCTGCTCCTCTAGCAGTAGGGATTGAGTCATAGAAGGAGGGTTTGCTTTGCTTAATAGGTGACTTGTTACCTTACAATCCCAAAATTCTTATGTCGGTTAACTCTCCAGTGGCATAGCTGGGGGTAGATTGCCTAAGTGACTACATCTCAAAAGAAAAAGCAGAGAATAGCAACTTCAGGATTTAATTGCCAAACAGTTTAGTCACCTGAACTGCTTCCAAGTTTTTCTAGAAATATTATGCCTGTCTGGAGCTTACTGAAATTCTTCACAGCATTTTTTGAGGAGACCAGAAAAGGCCCTAGCCTTGTGCTGCATGTACAAGTCGCTTGTTGTGAAGAGCATCTTGTTTCTGGCTTGAGTCTTGCTCCATGTGTCCTTATTCCTTCGGCAGGTCTATTGGTTGGGAAGGTCCTGGAGCCACAGTGACTCAAAGTAGTGTCTCCTTCATGGCTTCTAAGTGAAAAGCAAACAACTCTTAGTGTGAGGACTTTCTGAGTTTTCTCAGAGCTTAGAATGCCTCAGAGCAACACCGTCCCAAGGAAGGGGTGCCTGTAACTGTACCCCTTTTATTGCTGGGAGTGTCTGTTACACTGGCCTGAACTTTCTCAGCTGTTGGGGGAGCTTAGGCATAAGTGCCATCAGTGAGTCAAAGCAGTTGCCAGCTTTCCACGCTGTGGTGGAAGGGTTTCTGGGGTTATCCTGAACTGTTGCATTCTGAACATCCATGTGCTTGGTTTTGCTGGTTAGTGGAAACAAACACTGCAATCCAGGGCAGCATTTAGCAGGTTGGCTCTGCTGGTGTTGAACAGCCTTTTTCAAGTGTGTTGGATAACGGTCCCCAAAAGCTCCAACCCCACATCACTTGTGGATAAAGGCTTTTCTTTCTTTCTTTCTTTCTCACCCAATGGCCTTGCCTAACCCAGGTAGTTTTAATGCCAGTAAGGAGCCCAATCTCACAAGGTGGCTCTATGTAAAGCCTTTTTGCTTTTGTCTGGATGACAAGCTCACATTGTCTATCTCTAATCACGCAAGAGCTTTGATTAGATATAGAACTTTC